CATGCCACCACCTATGGTGACAGCAACCGGTTGTCCACGGGCACTTAAAGCAGCTGCATCACCGTTAAAACTATGGCAATTGACTGTTACTGTTGTTTATTTTTTGGCCTTATTCACTTTTGCTTAACTAAATTTGAATTTCGAGTAGAGCAGGTCGTGCAGGTCCATCGGAGTGGTTTGATGTATTCGTATGAGCAATATACTATTAGGAGGAGCAAGTACCTTGTCATCATATTGAAACATACATATATATATATATAGCCAAGTATGATTATGTATACATATGGTTGCCTTCGTCCTGTACAAAGGGTGGTGTACGACAAGCGGTATGCAGCATACAAGTTTTTCTGGCTATAAAAAAAAACATATTTTCACATACTCTGCATGTGAACTATAATGCCCATTGGAATGCATCAAAAATCTTTGCTTGAGTAATTCAATCATTACGAGTAATTTCCGCTGGATATTACATTTATATTTTGATAATAATGCTCTAAAGTGGGAAGGTTAATAGAGCGATCAGTTGTGAAAATCTGCAGTTACTAGCTTTCAGCAAGAATGTGCATATTTACATAAATACATACATAACTGAAATGTCGTTAAAGAAAAACGAACTAACAATTCCTCTGTTCTTATGAGCTTAGTGGACCTCTGTGGATGAACGAGCACCAAAACAGGCCAATGTGGGTCTGTCCGCAAACGAGGTTGTAGCGACAGTGCCTTGGGATCAAGCAGTGTCAGATTTCAGATTTAGCCCCCTATTACTTATTTGGAAAAGATAAACAATTTAGGAAAACGCTGTACTTTTAGTGTCGAGATCAAAGGTGACCGTGCCGAGAGAAATAGAAAGTTTTTGTTTATAGTTTTGCAAAAAAAAATCTCTTTTAATACTCAAAAGCACTTCTCTCGAAACTTCAAAATTCATAAATAAATAAATTTCAAAATATATAAAAATATGGGATTGCCAATTTAAGCTCACTATCTGAACTAATTTAGTGTGAATTGAAAAATTTAGCTTTTCAAAAACTTTGAAGAAATTTGTTTTCCATATGGCATGTAAAATAGCGTTATATAGAGAAAATGCACAACACCAACAGCGAAAAGCATACAGCACACGCATTAATTTTAGACTCAGCAAATGCGGGATTAAACCATTAGCCCCAGGTCTTGTGAAAGGCAAGCAAATAATAATAATTATAGATTTGCGCTTGCACATATGTTAGTGTTTGGCCGAGCTTCTCCTCCAACTTGTGGCGTGCGCCTTGATGTTGTCACACAAAGAGGAGGGGCCTACAGTTTTACGCCGACTCCGAACGGCGATTGTATTTTAATGAGAAGCTGTTTTTCATGGCAGAAATACACTCGGAGGTTTGCCATTGCCTGCCGAGGGGCGACCGCTGTTTAGAAAAAACCTTTCCTACATTTTTGAACCCAGGCGCTGCGTAGTGGAAGCGCGCACTGCTTATCACTACACCACAGCGGGCGCCAGGCCGGCAAGCAAATACGTTTTTTAAAACTCCATTTAGGCGTTCTTCTACACAATTTCGGGCACGTGCGTGGCTTTCGTTGTAGCGCTGCTGATTGCCCCTGCAGGAAACGGGGTTAGTTTATAGCTAACTTATAACTACCCAGCAGTTAAATAGTTGTAACCTTTTATATTTTGGACATAAAAATCAATAAAAATGATAATGTAAAATTTTGCGCTTTATTATATTTGTTCCGCATTCGAGAAAGCATCTGCGAAGTGCAGAAAAAAATTGTATTCAAAGTAATTTTTGTATGAGGATATTTAAATAAAAGCTTCTTTAAAGAAAACAAACTCCCGGTAACGTCTGCATGACTCCTGCACGACTTAACAACTCACTTACAGTTAGTTTTTTCATAGCTAATTAGAAGTTAGGTATTTATCGAAATCCTGCAAAAGAGCTAACTATAAGTTGGTTATTTTTTATCAATTGATAATTTTTTTTCTGCAGGGGCCATACTCAAAATTCACAAACACATACATTTGTAACTTGTCGATTGGCATGCCATTGCTCCCACTGTTCCAGATTTTGTCGATTAATGCTTACGGAAACACTTTTTTCGGTGTCACTATAGAGATTCCTTACAGAAACGTACTTAGTTTTTTCTCTTTGATTTTTATTTATGTATGCATTCGTGTGGATGATAACTTTCGAGACAGGGCATCAATGCATACATAAGTGGTTATACAGTATTGGACATATCTATAGCACTCGAATTTCAAAGTGATACTTTTTGCCACTTATTTTTAAGAATTTTCAATTAAATAACAGTTTATTCTCTAACAAAACTAATATAAAGCAATGTTTAAAACTTTGTAAACGACTACGAAAAAATGCAAAAAATTTTCACCTAAATTTCAAAATTTTTTCTCAGAATATAGTCCATTCAATTTTAGTCTGATAATATGCAAATTTGAAGTAGCTAAAAATTGCCGTTGGTTTTTTTAGAATTTTGTTTTTCGTATTTGCCTCGATATAAACAATAAACACAATTTATTTTGTATATGGAAGAAACCCGCAACACCTTCGGTGAAATCAACGGCAATTTTTAGCCACTTAAAACTTGCACATTATCAGATGAAAATTGAATTAGAAATAAGTTTGAAATTTGGGTTAAATTTTGTTGCATTTTTTTGTAGTCTTACAAAGTTTTAAACTTGGGTTGATATGGGGTTTTTTTAGAGATTGAACTGTATTTTAATTGAAAATTCTTGAAAATCAAAATGAATGCAAACAATATCACTTTGAAATGGGGGTGCTATTGTATTGGCCAATACTGTTTATGTAAATCTGTTTATTCCTACAACTCATACACAGATACATAATTATGTACGTATGTATATGTACATATGTATACTGGTGCTTTCATTAAAAGCAAGTGTTATCGCGAAAGCAGCGTATTTTTCAACATTTAATGAACTCTGCAGTGTTGTTTCGTGTAAGTCCGTGTTAAATAACACATAAGACCCACATCAAAAATGTCCCAAAATAATGAAAACAAAAATTTAATAACGTATTCCTAATCTATACACTATATACATAGTTGTAAGTATTTAATAACTACTAGTAGCAGTTATGAGTAGAATTTGTATGTGATAATAAATTGGTTCAAGTGGATAAATCTGATATTCAATGTTGATGCGAAATCTGCATATGCGCAGATGTATATATATAGGCTATATGGAAGAAAATCCTTATTGGCTCCTAAATAAAGACAACTTCCATAGTTGGTTGAAAAATGGTATATCATCTGTGTAGTAGTATTACTAACAACATACAAAGCCACGTCTTCATATTTTGTAAAGCCGATTTATTGCCACTCAACATATGCTCGTGCACACACACACATTTGCCTCCTGACCTTTCTCCACTCTCAACCATTTGTTAGACCAAAAGTGGTATCCTTTTGTTGTTGTCTTTTTGTTAGCATGTAATTTAATTACAATAGCGGCGTTACAGTTAAGTCAACGAGGGGCAAATAAATCAGTACGTCACAGCGCGTAACTGAGTAAGTGGCCGGAGAAAGAGGCAGCAATGTTTGTTAATTGGGTTTCGACGACAACAGCTTTCGGTGGCAGTACATTGCACTTTCGCACTTTTGTGGCAACCAAATAATATTTATGCGAATGTATGTATGTATATATTTTGTTTAAAACCAAATGCGCAACGTACGCACAAACTTTGATATGATAACTATCTATGCCACGTAAATGCTTTCACAAAAAAAAAGACATGCGAATAGAATGACTTGGGTGGCCTAGTAAAAAATTAGTCACTTTGCGGTGGACAAATTGCATACCTACCCCTACATGTATGTAGGTACATTGGAGTGGTCCAAAAACAGTAAAGTCGGAATTTTAATGCCGCACCCGCTATGATTGTTCTATACTGACGAAAATATACCCCAATTTTTTATTTTGAAGTCAAAAAAATATTTAGAGAGCGCTCAAAACGCTCAAAGTTTTTCATGGATTTTATATGGGGAAAAAACAACTTTTCGTAGAAATGGTGTATAATTCTTGAAAATCAATATTCTTCGAGTGGAAAACTAAGGTTTTCTTCGGAAGACTTCCAATATTAATACCCATTTGCTTATTTAACCATTTTTTAATACTAAAGATTTTTTATTGGTCCCCCCATTACATTTTTTGGGCGTTTTGGCGGACCTATAAAATATAGTTACCTTGAAAAAATGGTAAAAAAAAAATTGGCTATCTCCTGAAGAGATACAGAGTTTTGCGATTGAAAAATATTAATTCCCAAGAATTCTACACAATTTCTACGAAAAGTTGTTTTTCCCCATATAAAATACATGGAAAATTTTGAGCGCTTTGAGCACTCCCTATTTTTTTTTTATTTAAAAAAAAAAAAAAAAATGGGGGTATATTTTCTTCGGTATAGAACAATCCTAGGGGGTGGCGGCATTAAAATTCCGACTTTACTTTTTCACATGCAATTCTGGACCACTCTAATGTACATATGTAGTATGTATGTATATAGTGTCATCCGGCAAACACAAAAAGCCCCAAAATATTTACTCTCATATGCGCATAATTACAATGGCAACAAACAACAACAAAATTGTATTATAAAAATCAACGTCAAGTGTATAGCGGTTATAAATAACACAAACACAAAACCCGGCAGTAAGCTTATCGTATTTGCTTATCTCTTTGATAGCGACGCCTAATTTATGAGTACATTGAGCTTGCACTGCAGCTCGCGGTGGCAGGCGCAGCTTTCGAAGGGAGTCATTGCGCCACTAAAAGTGGCATATGTATGCACTTTATGTTATATGTATGTACATAAATATGTATACTTAAAATATAAGCCACGTAAATAGCATTTGTAATTAAAATGTTTCAATGTTGCTTAAAAAAACAAAAAACAAAACAAACAATTAAATTAATTTCTCAAGCGCCCAGCAAGCACTTTCACTTTCATTGCTTATGACTTGCTCGTTTGTGCACTTACCTCGAATCGAATTTCTTGCCGTCCGTCAGCGTGCCCGTGTAGTGCATTGTCAGCATATCACCACTTTTCGACTTTTGTTCGCACACCTCCGGCGTACTGACGACATCGACTTTCAGTTCTTGAGCGCTCACGCTCGACGCCAACACAAGGCACGTTGCAATAAGTACGAATTTCAACATTTTGGTATATGGGTTTTGTTTGTTTTGTTTGAATTTTTTGTGTGGGTTTTGCTTTTATCTGCAAAGAAAGTGTAACAAAATGATGTTGATGAAATTGTTGTCGACGTAAAGTGAAATTTACACGCGACATTAAAATAGTATTACATATGTATATACTTAAATTAAATATGCCAAATATGTTTATTTTTTGTGAGAATTTTTGCTCATTCAAGTTATTAAATAATTTAAAAAAAATATCCACCATTAAATATAATATTTTTTTAAGGGGAAGGTTATTCAAAAGACATTCGCTGCATAAGCTCTTCAGAACCAAAAATCATACAACGCCGAAACTGGTTTATCTACAAACCAAATTTGACAAGGTATCAGAGAAAAAATACATCGTACTCTTCTTCTTCTTATAACACTCCTCAGGTGCAATTCTAACAACCTCCCACCAAAATAAATTAGAATCGACGGGTCATGGAGGAAGAGATCTGCATTAATGAAATGAGATATTTATGAAAATAGTCTACTTGGAGAATCAGTGAATTTACTAGATACACACAATGGAGCGAACTGCCATATCCATTTGACCACGTAAAAAAAAACAATAAATAACAAGTAAGAAAGTCTAAGTTCGGGCGGAGCCGAACATTAAATACCCGGTGCAAGTATTAAATATATGTTTTTTCACCTTTCCGAAACCTACCGCTAGATGGTAAGCCGGGGTGTATCAATTTTGAGTAAATTAGCGTCCTTCAATCTCGAAATATTGCAGTTTCAAGCATTTCTGAAATTTACCGTAATTTGAAAAGCGGCCGTAATTTTAGTCCGATTTCAATAATTTTCAATGCTTTGCTTATATGTGGCAAGCACAATAACCACACCGAGTTTGGTACAAATTGGTAGAACGGTTACCGATATACTTATATGTGATCATAAGTGGGCGGTGCCACGCCCATTTTCCAAAATTTTACCATAAACGTATTTCTTGGTAAAGAATTGTTGCAAGCATCAATTTTGAATAAATTAGCTTCAATATTTACTGATTTATCGAAGATTTTGTATTTCTCTAAATTACCGTTATATGGGATGTGGGCGTGGTTATTGTCCGATTTTAAAAAGTTTCGGCGGTTTTTTATGCTGTACCAAGGCCAACAACTGTGCCAAGTTTGGAAGAAATTGGTGCAGCGGTTACCAAGATATACACATGTAACCATAAGTGGGCGTGGCTACGCCCATTTTCCAAAAATTTATAATATTCTTATTTTTCGTCTAAAAATTATTGTAAATATCAATTTTGAGTGAATTATCTTCAGTAGTTACTAAAATATCGCAGTTTTCGTATTTCTGGAAATTACCGTTATATGGGAAGTGGGCGTGGTTAAAGTCCGATTTCGCCCATTTTCAATACCAACCTACCTTGGATTAAGGGAAACCTACATACCAAATTTCGTTGAGATATCTCAATTTTTGCTCGAGTTATCGTGTACACGGACAGACGGACAGACGGACAGACGGACGGACGGACGGACAGACAGACATGGCTTAATCGATTTCTCTTTTCATGCTGATCATTTATGTATACATTTGTCTATATCTATCTCGATTCGTTTTGGATGTTACAAACAACCGTTATGTGAACAAAATTAATATACCCTTGTGCACAAGTGCGCTCGGGTATAAAAATCCAGCAATGCGACCGAACCCCGAGTTTAGTATATGCTGTAGTAATGATCCTCCATGAATCTCCCCTCTCTACGAGAATTTAAAGCGGTCGTGCATCGAACGTTTATTTTGCCTTAGGAATAATATGTAGGAAAAAAATGGCTTATAATCAATGAATTCTTTCAGGCTAGGACGTTTCCAATGATCCTAGAAAAATATATCGGCCTCAATAGAATAATAACTCACATAGTTTTGTTTTATAAAAATGTTTATTATTATTATGTAAAACTGTTCACAGAAATATTGGGCCGTATGAATAAAAACTAAGCAATTGCTTTTTCTTAAAATTTCATACCTTTTACTCCAATTTTGTTTGAATAAATTGAGTAAAATATCTGAAATTTTAAGAAAACGCAATTGCTTATTTTTATTCATACGGCCCATTATCTTTCTATATTTTTAAAATGTTTTTCTCTACACAAAATAATTATATTACTTAAACTTTAAATTGATATCTAAATTTTTGCCGTAACACCGTCAGCAATTAAAAATAAATCAGATATTGGCACGGCCCGGCCCGGCCTACCAAGAATGTAGAACACATATTAGAAAGCACGCACGATCATGCATTGGCTAAGGGTAAACTCATTAATGCTGCCAGCCCACAAGACGGAAGCTGCTCTTATTATTAGTCGAAAAAACGGTGAAAAGTAGAAATTAGAGTAGGTGAAAGCATCATAGAGTCCAAGCCATATGGAAAGTATCTCGGCGTCCTAGTTGATCACCGACTTTGCTTCCGCGATCATTTGGAATACAGAAATGCGAACCGAGACCAACCACGCACAGTACACATCGCAGTTTAAGCACGTACTGAAGCACAGTGGAAGATACGGTGGGACAGAACAACAACGGGCAGGTGAACTTACTGCCTCATACCAAAAATTGGCACTTGGCTTAGCAAGCAACACGGCACAGTAGACTACTATTTAACCCAAGTCATCAGTGGCAACGCTTTTTAAATGTTCAAAACCCTTGTTGCGAGCAGTACTCCTCTTCAACTCCATGACATCCGCACTTAATAGTAAGCTTGGCACCTGTATAGCAGCAGAAAATATGGTACCGATTATGTTAACGATCGAGGAAGCATAGAACGACGTCTGCCATTTCTCTGCTGAAGTAAGAAAATACCTCCGGCGCAGCCAAAATTTGCAGTTTAGTCGCTACAGTTTAGGTGCAACAAGCCAGTTTTCTTGAGAAGTCACGGAATTAAGAGGGCAAGCCTTTAAAAATCGAATAAGTGACATTAAATTGATATATCCGGACTATACTTTATGTACTTAGATATGAACTTCCTAGCAGGACAATCAAAATGGGTGGATCAGTTTAACACCAGATCAACATAAACAGTGGGTGGGTGGTATCATGTGAACAGTAACGGACGTAGAGCCTAGTGTTCAAATCGCTTCCCGACGAAATACTTAACGGTGGTACTGGGGAGATCGGTACATAGCCGGTAGGAGGTTTAGTGGGTTAAAGTCTCACACTGACTGGTTCAGGGTTTAGGCTTTCGATGCTTCCTTCTCTGAAAAAACAAACACAAGATCATGCACGGAGAATAAATCATTAACGTCCGACCCGACACGAACCAAATTGAAAATTCGCTGCATGCACGATCTCGTGCCGAAGTCAAATTGTTCCGCCCGTGCCCATCTCTAATTCCGACCATGCCAATGAGAATCATTTGTTATTCACATCACCAACGAGTTTTCGCTGGAATTGGTCACATTTTGGCGCATTGCATTATGCATAGTTACTCGTAGCTTTTCTTCGTAAATTGCGTTATGTATGCAATTGCAGACGAGCGGCCGGCCCGGCCCGGATGATGGCCAACACAGTTGCATAATCATTAACAAAAGCCAAAGTTAAAGCAATGAAAAAGCGATTACAGTCTGGCGTCCAATGTCTACGGTAATGCAACACCCAGCTAACTGATCTGACTAATAAACAACCAGAAGTGGGCACTGTGTAGCTATTTCAATTTTATATTGAGTCAATTGGTTACTGAGTAAAATTTAAAAAATTAGTAATATACATACATATGTATGTACCACAACTTGTGGTAGCAGAGGAAGAGGAAAGCCTTTTTTTCCTTTTTGAAAGATCAAGGAAAGGGGGTACTTAGCTTCACTCGGTGGAGAAAGAGGCACGACTGGCGTGCTATGCTGGACTCCTTTCAAGACGAAGAAAAGTACGATCTAAGTAATTATTTGATTAAAGCTCTGCGATGAACCATAATTATAAAAGAAAGTAATTCAAAACTGTAAAATTGTGCTAGAATATCTTAAAAAATCTCTTTTTAAAATCCCTGAAGTCTAAAATCGTCTTTAAGCGCCTAAAATTTATATATATTTCAGATTTTTACAATTTCCGCCCACTGTAAACAAGTAGTATACACCATACGGATGTGCAAGTAGATACAAATGCACATATACATACATATTTTTGTGTGCACGTAAGTGAGTCTTCATTACAGCATTAACGTTTAAATGTAGGTATGTATGCACATATGTATGTATGTACGTAACGCATTTTTAAATTTGCATTGTGTTACGCAATTGCGCTTTATTTGCATTATTTTTATTTTTCATTGAGGAGGTATAGCTAATTGTGAAATTGAATTTTTCTACTGCTTCTTCATCTTCTTCTTATTCATCATTTCCATCTATGTATGCATGTATGTATCTAATTCTTTTGTCTTCAAATACGCCATCCAAAGAAAGTTTACCAATAAAAGCCTGAAACGCATGCGCAACGCATTTACCAACTTTGATTGTGCGTTAGTGAAATCGCCACTTGAAATATTTGGAGATTTTGGCCATATTTTTTTTATTAGTTACAAAATTTTGGCAGAGTATTTGTAAAAAACGAACGAAATGATGACCGCGCAGAGACTATGAATAATGCTCGAGTGGGTGTTTTGTTTGGGCAAATCCGCGGGTATTCACTAAATAAATGAACCAAATAAGCGGGCATCGAAAAAACTATATTAGAAAGTGTTGAAATGGCATAACAAATTGAATTAAAAAGATACATACATATTATGTATAATTATTGTATTTGCAGCTCAGTTAAAGTAGTCATTACCGCTTCAGTAAATAGGTCATTGTAATACAATTGCGTATTCAAATGCACAGATATGACTACATCTATTCATAATATACTTATAAGTAAATATACATACATATATTCATAATTATGAATAGGGAACAAGTGGCGTGCAATGAATTTGGTAGAAAACTTTTTTAAGCGCTAATTAAGGCACACTGACACTAGATATAATATAATTAATTAGTTAGTTATGAAAGCGTTTTGTTGAAAAAAAAATTAATACAACAGGAAGGAAAAATT